ATAGCACTTTTTTTTCTCAGCACCCATTTGGGGTACTCGTGGAATTGTCTGCTGGTATTTCAACTGGTATCGGCTTGTACTCGGTTGTGAACCGTAGGTCACCTGGAACCCTTGCTGTATCGGTTCCTTTTCCTCCGGACAAATCTTGTGGCCTCAGAAAACACCCCACGACAGTGGCACATCCAACCAGGGCAGAGCGATGCTGATGAACCTTCAACGAGTGGGTAGCATTTTGCTCGTCCCTTATAATCATATTGGCATTGTTGTTGGATGCCCATTCATCGAAAAGGTGAAGGAAATTCGGAAAGGACTAGGATTTCCGGCGCTGTTTCGGCTTGCGCGAGGGCATTTTGCACTATTCGCTAGTTCCTGTTTGTATAGTGTCATGTTAACTTAAATGTCTCGTTTTGACGGGACCTGTTAAACTCTGTAAAGCTGGCGAAAAGGGGCAAGCTGACGTGAATTTCGGTCAAGGAGTTCGCAAGATCTCACAAAGAGGCCTGTTCAAGCTTAGCCAGGTACAACTCAGTGGCCCCAACGAGCCGAACTTAGCAGGAGCTCCTATTGTCATTAGTTTAGCGTTTAGCCCAGTCCCTTTGAATCTTGTTGGGTAAGGAGCTGATGTGAGGCAGACAATAAGGTTGAGTAAGGTCGTGCTTGAAACTACCATGAAGGAGTGGGGGTACTGCAAAACGACCCCGGTTTTGTATCCTGCCTGTACAATCTATTTCTGGATTAAAGGGCTCCTGGGTAGAGGTTAGTTTGACTCTGTTCTGCCCAGTCTGCTTCTTCTTTCGTGTAACTTGAGAGAGGTTTAGAGCCCTGATTTCAGTCTACCGGTCTGCAAGGCATCAATGACCAACGGCCTTCAGGATCTTTCGAAGAAAGTGCAGCTGGGGATTTTCTAGCCACGGTGTGTTTTTTACAGCGTACGGTCCTCTGCACAATAACCTTGCCTTACATAAATCATGGACACCGTGAAAAACCTGGACGCTCTTGAAATGCTCAGTGTTGCGATCTGCGCATTCTTGCAGGGTAGTTCATCGCCCATTTGAGGGCTAGGAAATTTCGAAAAGAGAGTGTATCGATTTATTTCGGAGGGAGCTTCCAGACAATCGATATGATTTCAATCAATATTCGTGCAGTTTCTGGTAGGATTCTGAATCATGTTCAGTGAGACAGCTCGGCTGATTTCAAAGAATACAACCAGATGTTCGACAAGTCGCATCGCGGCGATTGACTGGCGCCGCGTGCGACCATTCGCGCGAACATCTGCATTCCCACACACTTCAGTGATGAATTTGCATGTGCAGCTCATTAATCCATCATTTTCCACGAGAAATCAAACCGTTCATTAATAACGATCTTGATTTCTTCCCGACCTCATCGTGCACATCGAAACTGGGCGCTGGTGTTCGGAATGGGCAGATCAAAAATTAAATCATCCGGGTACGATAATTCTTGGAATTAATCCTTAAAAAGGAGGTAATATTGGTACTTTTGCGACTTTTAATCATTTTTTGTGACGGAGTTCTCCATCAACCGGCCAGTCAACTTAGGCGTGACGCTAGTAGCAGTAGGAGACTTGCAGTTTTTTGCAAGGCATTGTTTGTGCCTCGGCTGGGATCGAACTCGTGGCTCAGAGAGAGACATAAAATTAGAATTTCCACAATTCGACTACCCTTCATTGAATTCTGGAACATATCGCTATGGTGAACATCGCTTATGACCCTCCCCTCCGCTCATAACCCATGCACTAACTTTGATTAACCCCCTCCTTTCAGAAGTAATACCTTTTCCCCCCCCCCCCTCCCGCCTTCTCCATCCTCCCCAACACGATTGCTCCAAGATGATGTGCTCTGGGTGGAACATGCCGTCCACTGACTCTTCCTCATCACTTTTTCACCAACATTACCTTGTTCCTGTGTATCTCTGGCGGGACGTCGTGACAACGGGATAGTTGGTTGCAGCACACCCACCTTCTTTATCAGACCCCTCTACTGAGACCAGGGCGTTGGGGATCCCCTGTCTTGTTCACCTTCAATGTTCCCGATGGTTGACGTTCCTCGGGTTTCATTTCACTAGTGCTACGTACTCCTTTCCCTCTTGCCGGCCATTTTTTGGGGAGCGGGAAAAGGCTCTAGAGAAAAAAGAGCAGATAAGTTGAAGATAGAAGATTCAGATAAGATGGGACGACTACTGCGAAGGGAAGTCGTGCCAGAGAAAGGAAATTTCGAAGGAGAGTATGTCGACGCTCTGCAACAGTTTTATCCCAACGACAGGACATGTCCTGAATGAGAGAGCCCTTCATTTCAAAAATATACCATCATCAAAACGCACTTAACAAAATTCAGCACAAGATATACTACTACACTAAAACGTAGAACTCAATTTTTCGTTGGATTTTTCGAATTCTGATTTTCAAACACTCCTGTCGACAAGGCACGCCCCCCCCCTTCCCTGCCCCAGTTGTGAATCGAAAAACCCTTTGCCACTCCATCTAGATGCAATAAGTGTGGTAGGACAAGCTATTGTAGTGCCAATAAATAAATCTAGACAAGCGCTCATGACACGGACGGGTGGCATAAGACAACGGATCTTTCTTGCGCAATCTGATTTACAACTACCGATGCAAAATCGACAATAATCTCGAATTTATGTCTTGTCGAACATCCCTGACAAAATGAAATCGAGACCGGTCAGTGAGATAGAGGGAGCATCTGGGAAGGTAGGAAGTGGGAAACCTTCTTTCGAAAGTGTGCGCCCAGCTGGGTTATCGGCAGAAGTGCAGTAATATCAAGAAAATCAAATAGGGGATAGCGCAGTTCAGCAGAGTGTCTAATCCACATACATAATCAGCGTGCTAGAGTAGTGGGATCAAAATTCCATCCATCGCTTTTCGAGGATTCTAACTCCGAGTGTTCAGTTTATATTTTTACTCTATTTTGAAACAAGGTTGCTATTGACAGTCGCCGCTTTTTCGCTCAGAAGCGAATTTCCCGACTGACCGTTCCACATCCGAGCCAACCAAGCTGCAAGCCCTGAGATGCATGAAGCTCATTCGCGAGAACAAGACACCAACCTTTTCATAGGCTAATCCTCATAAGTCATAGTGCCAAATAGCCCTGGAAAAAAATGTAAATTTTCATAGTTGATGCCTCGGAGTGCCGCTATGGTTTTAGACGGATGTAGACGTTTGGACGTACTGGAGCAGTCCAAAACGTGACCGATCTACTCCAGAATTAGAACCTTTTTCACCTTTTTTCGTTGGAAGACAGCTAGTCGGTAAAGCAAGCTTCAAGGAATTGTTGAGTTAGAAGAGGAAAGAAACATAAACGATGAATTAGTTACTCCTAAGAAGTGGTTTAGATCGCAACATCAAAGGTTTCATGAGCGCAACGGTTTTTTCAAGTGGAGTGATTTATTTATGGCAATGTTGCTGTGTAGGGCACCGTACGGCGAAAAAACACCAACCAACAAATCTTCTTGAGATAATGTTTGAAGGAGACCGCCCACCATGATTATCAGCAGCATTTTTCTTTTGCTCTCACAGAAAAAAAAAATGAGATCTTCAATGTCCATACTAATGGTACAAGTGGAAATGATGAGCTACAGAATAGCTTAGGACATAGCAGATGCTTGTGATTATTAATGTGCCTTTATCTTGTGAGGGGGTGCGGGGTAGGGGGTATAAGAAAGGATAGGACAGCACATTGACAAAGAGGCTGGCAGTACACCAACTAGCTTACGTGTTCAAGGTATTAGTCTCTTGAATCTAGTGCTCTTCCCGAGGTCCTAGCCAATACTTTAGTTACATTTTTTCTCAAAGGACCTCGTGTTCTCTCGTGAATTGGTCTCTGCATGATGTTGGCTGTCAATTATGCAACAATTGAATGTAGAATGCTGCGTACTCTGAGTTGGGATGCTGGTAGAAATAGGAGGCTCTTTGAATTTGGAATGAATCTAAGGTCGATATTGGAAAGGAATATGGCAGAACTGCTTCGAGACGTTGCCTGAGATGCGGGCCCAATGCATTGCAATTCGTATTCACAATCGGGTAGAGTTCATATAGTATAATTGCGAGGAATTGTCTGAAAGACTGCTTGTGATGGAGAGGGGGGCGGAGGTCCAAGAAAATGTGCTGATATCGATGAGGGATGAGGCTGTTCGTTTTCGAAGTGACTCCTGTATCGATGGGCAGACTCCTGAGTTATGAAGTGGGAAGGGGCTCACAGAGAGGAAAGCCATTGCTGGGGAAAATTACAATTCTCAAAGAGTTTGTCGAGCCTTCTAGATTTGAGACGCCAAAGACGCATTGCAAGTGGGTCATAGTCTTCCACACTGAAATACGTCTGCAAGGACGGCGTCTCCCTATCCTATAACCTCATTCGTACTTTGGGAGCACTAATTTGCAAAGGACGGGGATTGCTTATATTAGCGCTGGTTTTACCGTCTGTTAGATTTATGTTTCTCGTGTTCATTCTTGTTTTTCTTCCAAACTTCGGCTGATAACAAGCCTAATCGCAAAACTCTAATTAGGCCAGCCTGGCCTTTCAGGGCGGTAACTTTAGTAGATTTAGTGGGTCACGATCCAAATTATGAAAAGTGAAAAAGATATCTCTATTTAAGGTAGTTAAACTCTTTCAAAACGAGTTCCTCCTTGTTGATTACAGGACACAGAGAGAGTACTCCATGTTCAGTAGTGTCTCACGTTTGTAAAGGTTTTTTGAACAGTTGTTCGTTTGGTCCTACGCCTCCTACGCCTCATCACTCTGTATTCCTGCTCTGTCCTAATGTCCTTTCTCGCTCCAAGAACAACCTCACGTATGGGCTACTACGGGGCACCAGGCGCGTAAACGAATTCCCAGCCCCAATTCTCTTATAATCCCAAGTTCTGGAGTACAATTACATATATTTGAATGCCAATTTATGTGGGAGATATTGTACAAAAACAAAAAACCTCGAAATTTTCAAGGACCTGAGCACTCTCATAGAGTTTGATGGCATCAGATTTCAGGTGGATCACGGGGCGAGAAGCGACAGCGAACCGCCTACACACGAAATCAAGTCCTCGAATTGGAAAAGGTAGCATATCATAGTTGATCAGTTTTTTCTTCCGCATTTCTCCTTGTCTTATTTTATCAGATTCTTCCCAGTAATCGATGTTGTTTAAGGAATTCCACTTCAACAAATATTTGACGAGAAAACGACGAATCGAAATCGCTCACTCGTTGATGCTCACCGAACGGCAGGTAAGGGGATTTTTGGTGAAATTCTTCTTCGAGAAGCGGCAAAAGTCCTTCATAGGGTCTCGTTTCAAGGAGAGGAGGGGGTTCGCAGAGGAGAAAGCAGTTGTTCGCAACTCTGATCAAAGCCCCGTCTTTTTTGGATTTACCGAGTTTACCGTGCTTATCGTGGAAAGGAATATTCCATTACCTTCCGAGTTTTTTAAGGAACCCATTTTACACGGACTTGAGCTCTTTCGCCAAAGTGTCGCCGTAATTAGGGAATGATTTCTGACAAGTTTATTCAGTAATCGGCCTCGTTCAGAAGGGTAAAGAAACTCCTCTCAATGATGATCCTAGCAAAGCTCAAATGCCGCTGATACCTTGCGACTCAGTTTTTTTCTTTCCTTTTTACATGCCTTTCATTTCAGGTAAAAATCTGGTTTCAAAATAGGCGGATGAAGCACAAGAAAGAGAACAAGGTGAGATTTTTGGCTTTCCCGCCTAAAGTTTTGCTATACACAAGGATTTGATTACCGTAGACCTCCTACTAGAATTTTGACGAATTTACAGTTAGGATGGCTGCACTTCAATTGTAGTAAAACGTTCATTCGGTATTGTTCTGTCAAGTGGAGAATTTGCATGTACCCTCAGAAAAGGTCCTCCCACCGGCCAAAAACCCGTTCAACCATATTCGTGAGGCAACACACGTGTCCGTTTCCTCGACAGCAATAAATCTTCTCAAAAATCTGTCCCCGTTCATACGTCGGAAGAACTCGTCGCCCAGATGTCGCACGTTGCCCGAATGTTGCGACATTTCCTCCCAGCAGCATATGTACCATTGTGACGAAGACTAACTGCAGTAGGGAGTTCAAATAGAACATGGTCACCAATTACCCACAGGAATGGGAGGCACTCAAAAGCAGCCTTGCTTGAGTTTTGAGACTACGAAATTTTGATGTTTGATGCTTTGAGGTTTTGTAGATGCCTGGTTGGGAAGTGAGGGTGTGATTTTTGTGGCCACTGAGCGGAATCCATATAATTAAAGTGATTTCAAAAGCGCAACTTCCGCTTTAATTGGCTTTTGCTTGAAGGCCCACGCGTCCGCGATCAGGATATCGAAGTTGAAAATATGGCGTCCGGAGGTTAGAGTGGTCCGCGGCGAACAACCTTGTACCGGTTTCGCGGCAAAAATTCTATGGGAGGGGCGCTGTAGCGCAATACAGGTTCAGTGGCTCCTCCTTTTTCCAGTGACTCCGCCTCCAGACTCCGCCCCTAATGACCGACTTCCAGTGAAAAATGAGATTGCAGGACGAAAAAGCATGATAATCGCCTTGTACGATCGTAGAAATCTTAGAATCGGCCGCCTCAGCCGCTGATATGACGGGCTTAAGCTTGAGAGATAAGAGTGATTGGGCCACGCACATACTGGATCGAAATAATGCGTTCTAACTAGGGGGTGCATGTTTTTTCCTGCCTTATTTGTTCACAGTCGAGTTACTCAACTCCTTGTCGTCTGTATGGATAGAACCCCTAATCCACCATCTGAGATGGCGAGTAATCGCGGGTTCTTCTTTAAGCCACCATCGACGGGCGGGTTGCGAGTGAGGAGAGTGATCAGCATTGAACGTATCTTTTCAGCTGCTTTAAGTCTAGTTGTCAACAGCTAATTTCTATCTGTTTCATAGTTACGGATACACTTGTAGCTCGTTCATCAGTCCCCCAATTTGTATATCTTTGCGTTTGATGCTGGAGAAGTTCGCCCAATGAAAAGCTTCTCTGGGGCTATTGTTCCTAGGCCTTATGCATCATTAAGCACTCCTGTCCGTCTGGTGTCTCCAAACTCCAAATTTCAATTCCGATGCTTGCCGTCCGCGCCCGACTCGAGCGCCGCGCAGACGGCAAGCTGGAATGCGTCCCGGTTATGCTTACCGTTTTGGCCCACCCTCCTCTGTACCGTAACAAGTAAAGGCACAGCACTGAATACATGATGGTAGGCCGCGCTCACCTCGAGCAACGAGCGTAAAAAACCTCGGAATAAGATAGCATCCTTCTGACCTTTACGTTCACAGTAAATCATTTTTGCAACGTGGTTCAAATAAGCGCTTGTAGCAAGTAATTGTGTACTCGTGCGCCTTGTAAACAGATGTAATTATAATGCGGCGCTAAGCCGCATTCTGCTTCTGAAATGCCCTGGACGCTTTCGAACTGGAATTGTGAAAGTAATTGAGTACGAATTAACGTCTTAATCAGTGGAAACGATAGGGCGTGTGGTCAGCGTGGATACTAACGCAGACGAGCGACGCCTTCCCTTCCAATGAAACGACCTTCCTGAACGAGACAAGTAATGAGAAAATCTGCCTTGGCTGCACTCGAGTCTTGCGCCCCTCGCTTACTAGAACAAGTTTTGAATGACTATGACTTTCCAGTGATCACACTAGTACACTTAGCTGGAATGGACGGAAATCAACATTTAGGCTTTCTAACTGGCGCATCTTCCCTTCTGCAAATCTTAAAGGCAGTTGGCACGATGCTTTTCTAGTTACCACTAAAATGCTGGTAGAGCGCTGTATAGTGGGGAAATGGCGAAAGAACGGAGTGAAACGGTCAAAATCCTGCGAAGAAAAAGCCTCCGTTCTCAGTGACTTGTAAATCGATTTCGGACGAGTTTCCCGTAGGCATCTTACCAATCACCGCTACCGAAGATACGGCTGCATATGTGTACCCATATATGCATGCAGCATCACGGCCGCTTCATACCAATCCCTTCGCTTCATAATTTGCTTAGCAAATGAATGAATACGAGCGTCAGGAACGGTCGTCCATTTGTGGGCGGGCAGGCGCGACGGGGCGTTTGGGACGTAGCAGTTGTGCGCTTGATTAGCGGCCTTCATAAGGTACCTTCTCGGGGAAACCGCTATGCAGCGCCTGCCCAGGGTCGCGGAATTCTATCGTGACAGGAGTGTTGATCCTAGCCTCTTGGGGGATTTATCGTGCCAACTGCCTCTAAGGGAAGTGGGGCGTAGGTAACGTCACTGGAAAAGGCCCATGGCCGTCCCAACTACACGACCAGATGATGGCATTATGAGGTAGCGAATGCGAATTCGAATGAATCGAACTCATTCTAGATACAAGTGCAGCTCCTTCGAAGGTTGTTCCTGCCCGTGGGCATAATTTTTTCTTACATAATTACGGTATGCCTCTCGGAAATGTTCCGTTGAGCGGGGGCGGGAAGGGAAAAAATCCTTCCTGATCAGCTATCAGAAGTGGTAGTTTTGTGGCGTCGTCTACACTAAGGGGGTAACCCCTCTTCCAGCAACCGCGTTCGGAGCCACGTTGGAAAAACCCAAGAAACTTCGTAGGCTTCTTAGAGGAATGACTTGATTGATTCAAGTTCGTTAGACTCCATCAGGCACTGAGAAGGAATGCACATATCTGTAGAATGCTAGGTAGAAATGGAAGGTCATCAAACGTTCCATCAAAAGTTTGATGCCTCTGTTACTAGTAGTTCCCTGAACCATCCTTGTTGCGTGTAAATCGATTACCAAATATTATTCAGGACAAGCCGCTCACACCGCAGATGATGCCGTTCCCGACGGGACCTTTGCCGTTTGCGCATCTGGGATTTCCACGGAATTTCCTGCTTTCGAATCAATTCTGAAGCTGTTCTCGTCTTCCCGATTAGTTCCGGTTCAACTTTACGCTTAAGGGTTTTACTCTCACTCTACTACTTTGACTTTCTCGTCTTCGAATGAAAAGCTTCTCAGCTTCTTCGCATAACAGTTACTGTAGCTCATCAACGATCGACCAATCAGAGGAATGGTGTGAGGGTGCCCTTGCACCATCACACCATTCCATCATTCATCCACCAATATCCACGTGTATACGCTTCTATACTATGTATGATTATATGTCATTCCATATATGTGCTTACAAGCAGCTTTAAATTCTTTCCGTTGTAGATCACTCTTGTTTTCTCTGTTTCTCTACGTTCTTCTGTTTTCTCGTGTTATTTCTCGTCATGTGGTGTGTCTCTGCGTGTCTGTGTCTGTCCGTGTGTTTCTGTTTTTTTTTCTCTATGCCAACCCACAGGGTGTATTTCATACAAGGTTCCTCTCATCAAACAAGGTATATTGTCCGGCAACGAAAACAAGGTACTGTAGGTATTTTCTTCTTCTTCTTCTTTTCTTACAGGGTATATATGTGTGTGTACGCCTCTTTTGTGTGCAACCTATATATACATATATAACTATAAATGTATATGCATAAATTACCTTCAAGGTAATAAATAGGTCACCTTTGAGGTAATAGTTGTCTATTTGTGATGTGTTGCGAATGTGTTTGTCTTCTCTGTTCAGCTATCCGCCTTCGGTTGGCTATCTATCCGTCATCTGCCTATCCAAATCCTATTTCCTCCGACTCTCACGACCCATGGGCCTATTTGCTTTTTCCTAGGAGCCTAGCTGATTTTCCTTTTCTTTTAGGCCTCGGCGCTCTCTTTCTCTGATCCCTCTTTGTGTTTGCTGCTATTTTTTGTTTGTTCTTTTTCTCTCTCTCCCATGTCTGTTCACATTTCATATTTACCATTGTGATTTCTGTTCGCGCCGTTTTTGTCGTCATCAGTGTATCAGAGAATAAAATATGAAGATTTGCCGTCATATTTCAGAAAATCGATTTATATGCTCTGGAAAATTTCGGAAATGGCTGTCTATTATCGATTCATTGGGTCCCCATGAAATAGAGTCGACTGATGTCAATAATGTCTCCACGAAAAACAGTAATTAACGATATAGACCAGAGAAAATCATTCCTCCCGAGTAAAATGTGTACCTGGCAGGACCACGGAAAAATTGCTACCGAACAGTATTGACCAGGTTGACATGGAATTTTGGCATAGACCAATTTCGGCAATTAGAAGGGCGTCACTTTGGCGTCACAGGATGCGCAGTAGATATAAAGGATAAAGGATAAAGTCTTCGCCGTTGATCAATCCCTTTGTGGGATGCGGCACGCATTCTACTTCCATTCAGAATCGTAGTGGCTTATTGAATGCGATGTGGCCTATACAATGACTTGCGGTGGCCAGCCGAT